GTAGCATTTCCATTTGTAAGACTTGTGCTTAAACTTGGTCAGCTACAGCACAGACGTGAGGGCTTAGCTGTTTGGTTTGAGTCACGCTGTGCAGTGCCCAGCGTCGCTCATGTACTGGTTTGCATCAGGAGTTTTCCTGATGGGTGTCCTTCCTAGTGGGAGACGGTAACTGAGGCCTTGGAGGATAGAGCTGGAAATCCATTGTGAAAAAAACTGTGGATTAACTTGCTGATTAGGGTACCTATTGTAAGGGCTAGTAAGATGGGAAAGGCATGTGAAATTTTCGCCATGTGGCAGTGATCACATCATTCTTAAGGTAATCTATTCTCAAGAGAAGGTAGCAGATCATCTTCCAGTCATCACTGCTGCTTATTCCCTTTCTTCTCCAGTGCATTCCCTGTATTCATCCCATCTATTTTAATCCTTTACCAGATCTCATATTACAAAAGAAATGTAATTGCACCTTTTCTCCTTTGAGCTTGGGTATCTCAGAAAAAGCAGAGAAGCTTTCAGTTTGGTCAACCCTCTTTTTCCTCATTCAGTGGCATTATCAGCCAAACTGCAAAACTCCCAGGCTCCCAAGTGACACGGTCCTCACCCTGCCTTGCCAGAGGGCCGTGGGGTTGGTCACGGCTTGCCCTGCAGCCCTGCAAACCCTGCTAAATGCAAAGACAGTCTTCTGGAATACTTTGCTTTGTGCTTTGATCGTATCCAGGAGCACAAGGTTTTAATAACAGAGACACTCTTGTTGCTGGCAAATAACACTTTTATACCTAGCAAATTCATTTAGGGCTCTAACCTCTTGATTTTTGCAATTCCAACTGTTTTTGTACTGACAGGCAAGATAAATAAGTCATCTTTATGATTCATATTATTTCTTTTTTTTTCTGTGCTTGGGTAAATAAGTGGTCCACGTGCATCTCCTCACCAAACAGTGTCAGCTTTTACCATTTCCTGTCCTAGCCCCAGATAACCAAGTGCCACTCTGCACTTTCCTGTCTTGGCCCTTGAAAGTTGTGATTACCGCTGGTGATGCTGAACTGTCCGTACTGACACTAGACTCTTTCTGAGTGTGTGTGTGTGCATCCACATACTTGTTGCAGTTATGCTTTTTATCACACATTTGCTAATTGTGAGTGGATGTTGGGTTAATATCGATCATGAGCTGGTACATCCCCCACTTGCAGAGATTGCAGTTGGTATGTTCACTCTTGTGCTGCCCGGGTAAGCATCTCGTGTGTGTTTTGCTCTATAGGGGAGCTGAGTAACTGGGCAGAGCTGCTTATTTTTGCACAAGTTTAGCATCAAGCTTCTGGAAGCAGTTACAAGAAAAAGTGGAAACTAATTGTCCCATGTAGTATCTCTCACATGGTGGTTATCTCTGTGTTAGTGAGTTGACTATTTTTGTTATGCTGGAGTGGCTGAATTAGAAATTTGTCTCAAATAGGCTGATGGATTTGAGCAAAAATCTAAGTATGTTTGACCTGTTAAAACTTTTAGACTTGTTTGATTTATATATGTGTGTGTGTGTGTATATATATATATAAAAGTTTCTTTTTTAAAGCCAGGCTAACTTAACTACACTAGGAAGGTGGGGAAGAGGAGCAAAGAAAATTAAATGCACCAAACTTAAAGTTGCTTATTCCCTGTAATACAAATGCACGGTAAAGTGGGACTCTGAGAACAGGAAGCTTGACTTCTAGTAGAAGTGAAAGCACAAGTGAGAGCCAGGTGTCGTTGTGCATCAAGCCCTGGCACCCACCATAGAACAAAACAGCAAAACCCCTGCTTTTTCCTGCCCAAGGTGACTTGCACCCTAGGCCTCTAGCATGTTTCCATGCCAGGTGCAGCCCATGGGTGCTGCCACTGCTGTCCAGGTGCTTGAGAGCCCCCAGAGGAGACAAAAACAAGTGTTGCCAAGAGCTGGTCACATGTGGCTTGAGCCAGAGTTGCTGTCCCAGTAGTTGTTCCCCCCATCTGCCCCACCATAATGCTTAAAATGTCACGTGCTGCATGTACTCGAGGGCAGGCTTTTTGTTTATATCTGCTACCTGATGCTTGACCTGTCTTTCCTGTTGCTTCCTATGTAAGAGTAGTCCCTCTTCCCCTTTGAGGTGCTTTATGCCCTAACCTTGGAAAGGGACGGCTTCCCTAGCCTCTGCCAGGGAGCGAGGATGATAGCAGCCGCTGGCTGTAAGCTCTGAAGTCTCGGGTTAAATCGCACCCTGCACACGGTAAACCCTGGCAGTCGGGGCACGGGGAGGGCTCCGGCAGTTGCAGCGCGCTCCGCGTTGGTGCCATTATCCCTGTCCCGGTTCCCCGTGCAGCAGCCGTCCGTGCTGGCCGCGCGCGCCGGCGATGCCGGCTGCCGTTGCGCTGCACGGAGGGGCTTGGGCACGCACGTGATGAGCACGCCGTACGGCTGTGCGCAGTGGCCATGAGGCGTGCAGAGGGCCAGAAATGCCTTGCTGCAACGGTCATCGTGGGCTAAGTGGCTATAGCAGCTGAACACGGTGACTGGTTTGGAGTTTAGTTGATGACATGAACTGAAGTGACTTACGTACATTGCTATTTGTGATTGAAGTTCCTTGCCGTAATCGAGAGAACAGTCTTGTATAAAATGTATTCTTTTTTTTTGGGGGGGAGGAGGCAGGGAGGAAGGGGAATAGGGGGAAGGAAATCCAGCCCTGCAGAAGGGAAGTGCTGTATGAAGGTAGCAGGTTTCCAACAGCCCCTGCATTTTTTTTCCAGTTACAAAAGATGGTCGCTGGGGACATCAGTCCTTTCTGAGTGTTCAGCTTTATGAAAACTTAAATCAAAGATTGGCTTGATAGTGAGTGCTACTTGCAAGGTAGTGATGTCCTCTGACTTTTTTTAATGCAGACTTGAATCCCCTCTGTTGATGGAGGAGCAGTATCATGCAAATATAATGCTGCTTATTGGCTTGAAAATCCTTTTTTGAGCTAGGACAGCCAGAGAAGGTATAAAAAGTTGTATTGCTACATTTTTGTTGGAGTAAGAGTTAGCCTCAGTTTACTGTCAATCACTTCCCTTTCAAATAAATTTGACTGCAAGGCTTTTGGTATCTGTTGGTAGACACTAGGATGCTTGTGTCTATGTTGCTGGTTTGTTTTTCTTCAAGATACCTAAAACAAGAAATGCATCGGAACCCAACAGTTGTTTGTTGTAGTGCTAATAGCTAAGTTACTCTGTTAAACTTCTCTGTCAGTACATGCCCTGAAATGGCGAGACAAATAATTCAGGCTTGACTGTCTTGGTGTACAGCTGTTTTGCCTCTGACTAAAACTTGAGGATATTGTTGTGCCGGGAATTATTTTGAAAGGTCTCTAAAGAACTTTTGCTACTGTTCTACAACTGCAAGAGGAAATTGCGTTCCTTCCAACTTCATGAGAACCTGATCACGGTTTCCTTCGAAAGATCATCTGTAGGGCAGTGAATGAGCAAGCTGTAATAAAACAAAACCTTTTGTGATACTCCCCCACCTCCCTGGTTCCTCAAGTGATTGAATTTCCATAGGAAAGCCCTCCCTAGCCTTTCTTCGCTTCAGTATACTGCAAAGAAAGACCCTTTCAGATCTGCTCACCGCTGATAAAGCAGTTAAATTGGGTGATCTAGCATGCAGCAGAGTCTTCTCCTAAAGGATTTGGTGGGTTGTCCCCCAGTCATAACAGAGGGAGAGCTGCCCTCACCTTAAGTATTCAAGTCTCCGAATTGAAAAAAAAATGGGGGAATATGAATTGGAGGAGGAGTTAAATCTTTCTCCAACTCTTAACGCTTGGCTCAAGACCTGCCAGCCCCTCTGAATAATTCATAGGCCACATAGACATCACCCTAGTTTTTGGATAGGGAAGGTATTAAATGCGTAGTTTAAAAAGTAAAATTAAAATCCCATACCCCACCAAAGAAGGACATCTGTTTCTAACTTCAGCTTTTTATTTTTTTATCTTTCATTTTTTTTTTGTTGGTAAATCTCCCAGACAACAGCAGTTCTGTAGAGAGTTTAAATATGAAGGAATGGCAGGACGGGCTAAGGGCACTTCTACCGAACATTAACATCAACTTTGGTGGACTGCCCAATGCTTCTTCCCCCTCCAACGCCAACCACAGTGTACCAACGTCCAACACTGCCACCACCGACAGCCTGAATTGGGACAGCCCTGGCAGCTGGATGGACCCCGCAATCATCACAGGTAACCGTTTCTCACTCCTTCAGCTCTGCTGGCAAACCATCAAATGGGTATTTGGCACAAACTGATCTGCATCTGGAGAAAAAATAAAATAAAATAAAAAAGGCAGTATGCGGTGGTCTCTTCCAGCTCCCATCCACAAAACGTCAAGGGTCTAGGAATTTTTGTGGAACCACTAGGTTTAATGAAGTGTCACTTAGCTCTTTGCAGTGCATGCCCGGGGCCTTTGCAGGCAGTCAGGGCGATTGGTGCTTATCCGTAGGGTCGACACAGGCGTCCCTTGTGCCGGATGGCATGTCCGGTATGCGCGCCGCTGCTCCTGAGGCACTGAAAGCATTAACTGGACTTTGCTCCTTAAAAAGGGACGTACTCCACTTGTTTATAAAGCTCTCTTTTATAAGGCTGTCTGGTTGTGTTTCCCTGTTAGAGAGGCTGAAGCGTGATGCACGTAGGCAGCGTAGGGAGCAAAGCGTGCAGCGTACTGCTAGGGCTTGTGGTAGGATCGTGCAAGCAGGGGTAGTCCTTGTGCAGAACGTGCAGCAGAGAAACGTCTGGTTTGGGGGCAGTACTCTGAGAGGGTACTTTCCCCTACCTGGATATACGTTAAATGTTTTGTGGGCAGGGTAATTTTATGTAATGATGTAAAATGCATTCTCTGTACAACTAACCATGTTTTCTCACTGCTGTTTGTTAGGTTAAATTGACCTCCTTCATGCTTACCTTACCGCTTCTGCTCTGACTTGTCTGTCTCCCTTTTTTCTCTCCTTTTTATTATTTTTTTTCTCTGCGTAGGTATCCCAGCCTCCACAGGAAACAGTTTAGACACCCTTCAAGATGACAATCCTCCACATTGGCTAAAATCTCTTCAGGCCCTCACAGAGATGGATGGCCCCAGCGCAGCGCCGTCACAGACGCACCACAGTAACCCCTTCGGCACACAGATCCCGCTGCACAGAGCCAGTTGGAATCCCTACTCTCCTCCTTCAAACCTCACCATCTTCCACTCCCCCCCACCAGGCTTTCAGACAGCCTTCAGACCCCCCAGCAAAACCCCCACAGATCTACTACAGAGCTCAGCGCTGGATCGTCATTAGGAAAGCAGGAAGACGAAGGAGAAGAAAAAAGAAAAACGTTAGAAATGCAGGAAATGTCCTACCCTGACTCCTCCCCATGCCACCTACTGTTCCCCCTCATATCTTTCTTTCTGAAGAATCCAGTTCCTGATCAAACCTCCCCCCCAAATGCAATGCCATCACAGGGTCATGACCGGCTTTTTGTTGAGTTTCTGCTGAGCCAGTGTTTGAAATACACTGTTTGAAATATTGCCTAAAGCAGCCTAAGAAAAAAAGAGAGAGAGAAACCAAAATGCAGTCTCAGTGCTTAAAGAGAATATTACTGTCTTATGTCTTTTGCACATGAATATTTTTGCCTAGTGGGAAAGTGTCAATCTTTAGTAGGGAAAAATGCAATGGAGAATCCAATGCAGAAACAGGAACAAGGTATTTAATTTAAACAAAGTTACTGAACATGTGGGGCAAGCAGTGGCCTGGCATTTATTTTGCATTCAGTGTGGCACTACACAGGGATATAGCTTTTTTCTTTTTCTTTTTTTGGAAAGAGGGACTTTGTTTTGTCAGTAAGAGGTTTGACATGAAGTGTGTTGAAAGACAAAACATACTTATAGCTATGAGTAACTGGCATGTTGCTAAAGTGGTTTAAAGAGAGGAGAATAAGGTGTTGTTTTTAATTTTGGCTTTAGATTTAAAGTAAACTTCAATGTTTTAAAAGTATTCACAGATTTAATACCTAGTGTATACATAATATAATTATAAGCAGCTGAAACACGAGTGATATTTACTTCAGTCTTTGTCTCCTCTGTCGGTCTCTCTTTCTTTTTTTTTTTTTTAAAAAAAAAAAAAAACAAAACAAAAACAAAGATTCACCTGGTAAGGGCACTCTGGGATAGCACTGCATTGGGGCCACATGATCACCATCAGGAGCAACCTCTGACCTCCTCTGCCTGCAGCTTTTACTTAACCCTGTAGTTTCTGGACGTTTGTGCAGTATTGAAAAGACAGGAAAAAGAAACAAATAAACATGGTTATAACCTGACGCTAAACTAAAACCAAGGAAATGTACCTCTTTCTTCAGAATTAAAACTAAAATCTTAAATAAAACAGAAAACTTGATGATGATTTTGTGTTTGCTTTTCTTGTTCTTTTTAACTTATACTTTAAAATTATGTGTCCTTGTATGTTTTTTCTCATGTACATCCCAAAATGAAGCTGCTTCTACATGGAGAAGTTTATTGGAGATTCAGAATACTGTGTTGGATGGTAATAACATTGAAGGCTGGAAAAAAAACATGTATTTTAAAATAAGGGATGCTGTTTTCTTTACTCATAACAGCTAAAGGCCGTTTGTGTTCAAGTCCTCCTGGTATCAGTTGAAATCTGAAGGATGAAGGACTTGTGTTTATACCCTTTCTTAATTAAAGGCCTCGGCACGGGCCAGGCAGCATGGGACCAAGTTTTGAACACGTGGCAGAGGTTGCACGCTGCTGCCCACGCTTTCCAGTGCCCTCCAGTGTCTTTGCTCAAAAGGTGCAAAATGTTTTCACTGCAGCAGGCCATGTTGGACTCATACCACCTATGAGGCCTCCGGTGGGTCCTTCCACTATAGCTGGAGATGAGTGTTGATATTTAAAACCTGTAACATAATTGAGATGAAACGGTGGGTTGAAATCCTCAATGTAGAGCTCATGAGAGAGGTGGTTGAGAACCTCAACTACTAGAATGCCTGTGCAGGAGGAATTATCTCATGTGAGCTGTATAGTTTGTGCTGGCTGCTGTCCTAAGGTGGTTGCTGGTGGTAATGGTAAGGAAAGGACTTCACAGCACAGAACTGTGGGCACCTAACACAGGGATATTGGCTCCTCTCTGCATGGAGATTTGGAGTATGAATCCCTTACTGGGAAGGGTAATTAGCCTCCTAATGTCAGGTGTGGAGAGTGGTGCCTAGAGTTACTCCGAATATCCCACTTCTAAATGTCTCCTTGTTGGTGACTGCTGCTTTAGCTGCTCTCTTGCCCATGTGGCTATCTAGAGCTGTATTTGCTGTCTTTGTTAGCTGAACTGAAGGTGCCATTTCTGGACAGGCATTACTTTGGCAGGTTAAGTCCTGTGCCCTGTTTGGTTGGAAGAAGTGTACACTGTTCATGCCTACCCCCTCTCCACTGGAGAGAGAGAGAGAGAGAGGAAAAAAAAAAAACCCAAACCACAGGAATTATTCATTTTTTTGTGACCCAACCACAGAGAGCAGGGGGTAGTGTGGCCGCTTTAACTGTGGCAGGGGAGCGCCTTCCCTCAGGGTTAGGTCCTGTCCTGCCACCATGGCCTTGGCCAGGAGGGAGCGGCGCCTCCCGCCTGTGGTGAAGGCGCGAGGGAATTTGGCCCAGTTCTTGGGGACAGGTAACTTGTGTAGCTCTTAACACCTCTCTAGCAGGTTTCACTTCTGAACAGAATCATACTTCCTAAAGTAGCTGTAACTGCTTCATATTTGCTATGGCAGGTCGTGAAGCAGGTACCTTCCCAGTTTCTTGATTTGTCTTTTAGGTTTGAGATGTGTTAAAGAAAAACTCTCCCTTGGGCTAAGCTTTTTCCTGAGCAGGAAAGGCTGTTTCCTGCTGTCACACGATAGCTTGTAGTTGGCCTAAAGACTAACTTTTGCCATTAAGAAAAGGTTAGCCACTAGATTTTCTTTGTTCTGTCTCCCAAGCCATGACTTTTACTTGTGTAGCAGTAAGTTTAGTAACAGTCAAATATGTTCAGGTCGATGGGGAAATGCCACTCTTGACAGCAGTGAGCAATAATGCTGAGGAGGCAGCAGTACAAAGGGTGGTCTCTAGCTTAGTTTTTATCCAATATCTGAAGCAGATTTCCCCTGCTGCCAGTTGGGAAGCTACCCGGCATTTCACTCTGTTCAACTGTATGGGACTTTATCAGTTTCTCATGTATATAGTGATCTATTTGTGTTTTCATCTACTTCCTACTCCAAGAAACTCCATACAGGAGCCTTTGTTAAAAGGAGAAAGATCCTGTGACTGTTTTGTCCATATGATTATTTCAGTGCATCTGTTTTGTAGATAACTGTGTGGACATGTGCAACTTAGGCCAGGAAAATGCTTGGCTAAAATAGTGATGACCATGGATTAGCAACACATTTGGCAGGTGATGTCTGTAGATTGAACTTGGAGAAACAGGATGGATCAGAATCCTCCAAAACCAATAAAAGCTTGTGTTGCAAGGAAATAGGAAGTTGTTAGCTATGAATCTGTTGGAGGAAATTCTATTTTCAAAGGAGTTCCAGTGTAAGTGTAATAACTCTGAGGTCAGCGGTTCTGGCTGACATTAAAGGTTCATGGCTGCTATTTCATTTATTTTTCATGTATTAAAAGAATGATATACTTCTCAAGAGTATAATGCTGCCTTCTAGGGAAGGTGAAGGTCCATTGCATGAGTAAGTTTTTCCTTTTATAAATTCTGTTTCCTAGGTGCTAGTCAAGCAGGTGCAGGCATGTGATCGCACACATGCGGTGTCCCAACAGGACTACTCTAACCATACTTAAAATGCTACTGCCAACTTCCATGAGTGTATTTAATCATGGATTTGAACAGTTGTCTTCTAGTTCTTGAACTCTTTTCCTTCTCCCCTTTTCAAAGTGTTTATACATGAGGTACTTATTTAATCTCAGGTCATCAGAAGATAGGATTTGGGGGGAGATTCCAGTCATTCACAGTGCTGAGAGCTGGCCATGCTGCTATTGAGATTTCTTTGGCTTGGACATACTTTTTCCTTCTGCAGAAGGATTCAGTGATTTTTGTTTTAATTCTTCCTCACCCTTGCAAGAGCGTTTAGAAAAATAAATTTGGATAACAGTTCTGTGATCTTTTCAAGGGCTTCTTGTTTGTCCTTCTCCTCAGGATGAATGGAACTGTGCCTTAAGATACTAAGGACCTTGGTGTTGGTGTGTAGCGTATGTGGATCCACTGAGTGCAAAGTACTGTGATGAACAGGTTTCTGAGGAAAAATTGCAGTGATGGAATAAAAAAAACAGTTACTGCTCAGGACGGAGATTGGTCAAGACATGTTGGGAGGTGGCACAGTGCTCTAAGTTAAGGAACTGAAACTATCACCAATGCTGGTCAAAGGGGTCACAGTTCCCCCTAACTTGAGGGGAGTGACCTTCGCCTTGGTCCAGCTTGGCAGACAGTAGTGACGTGAGTTTTTAGAGCACCCAAAGCAAAGATGAAGTGCTATTTGCCATGAATGCGTCTCTAGTAAGATTAGTTGTTGCTTTAAATCTGCTGCTGCTGTGTTGGAATAACTATTACTACTACGAGTGACTTCTACTTGACTACAGCCTTACTAGATACTCAGATTGAATGTGCCTTTAGTAACTGTAAGAACTTACACTGTTTTCTTTTGACCCAAATCCCAGCCTCTTTCTTTTCTGTTGCTTTGGAGAAAACAGCAGCAGGTCTACATCCACCTCTTGGGTCCTCTTCCATGTGTAGCTTTTGCTATAAAGAAAGCTCCAAAAGGGAGAAAAGGTAAAGTATTATAGCTTCAGGATAGAGTGTACTGAGGTTCTACCCATTCTTGTACTCTGATCCATGTATTAGAGCACTGTATGTACTTACCTGGCAGGGGAGACACCATGATCACGTATGTGAACAAGATCTTCCTTCCCATCTTTCTTCCTTTCTGAATTTGGTCCAAGACCTACCACTGTGGTGCTTACATGGCAAAAGGAGGGCTCTTTAGAGCGGCCAAGGGAAGTTTTTGCAATACAAGTGTAGGGAGCTTAAGCCATTTGTTGGGATGTTGGAGTCTGACCTGTGCAGCAGGGGTTTGAGGCGAGTTGGGTGATCCTGGCAGGAACAGGTTTGTTGCTAGTTTTTTTAGTGGAAAGGCTCTGGTTTAGGACAGTGCTGATGCAGTGAGAGTAGGTGTTGGTAAGTCATTTGAGCAAAGGGAACCTCAGAGAGAGCCGAAGTGTGGTCAGAATGTGTGTCATTATAAACCTGCGGCATATTTTTTCTTCTAGCTTGCAAATTGCCTCAAAAATTTACGTAGCTATCTATCTTATTTTTCTGTATGTGTGTGAACAAATCCAGCTGGTGATTTCTTACTGCTTTGCTGGTGCTGCCTTCTCTGTGTCAAGTTGCTTATGGCTCTTCACACCTTTAATAGAGCTGATATTTGCTATACTAGTCCCAGGTGAGAAGAAACTGAGCTAAAGGCTAGGTAATTAATAAGAAAAGTTGTGGTAGGGCTGGACTTACTGCCCTTAGTCCATCTTTGTTGTTTTTAGTCTCCTGGAAATCTGAGATGAATTTCTAGGAAGCCCCATATGTGTGTTTCCCCAGGGAGGAGCTGTGTGTACAGCTAAGACTGTCAAGGTTTGGGGATCAATTTTTTGTGATAGGAAACGTGACTGTGGCACACATTCACACGCACACACAGAGTCAGGAAAATATTATCCCAATGAAACTCTTCAAATTTGCCTTTTTCATGATTAAAATGCTTGCTTTGATTTGACGCTTCTCTATCAGTTTCATTGAAAATGCTAACTTTTTGTTATGACTCATCAAAATCAGCATCTTTCTGAACATGTTTGGCACTAGATTTTTATCTTTAAAACATGCATCACTTCACTTTACAGTGAAAACAGGTGTCAATCTCTGATTTTATGTAGGTGGGGGAAAGAAAAAAAAATGATTGTTTTTAAAGCCCTTCCTGGACCGAGAGAACAACGAACGCCAAATATCTCCCAAATGCTTTTTTTTTGCACAAAAAAGTCACTTTTGAGAGAAGGGAAATTGTAGTGAGCTATTTTATTTTATTTTATTTTATTTTATTTATTTTTTTTGTTGTTGTTGTTTGTTTGTTTTAAAGCATGGTAGGGGAGATGAAAAGAGAAGGAAACATGTGGAAAATGCTCTTCCCTTCTCCTTTAGTCTCCCTCCCTGCCCCTCCTTTTTTTTTTTTTCTCTTTTCTGTTTTGCTCTCTTAAAAATATATATGTATATGTATAGTTTCTTTCTATGTGAACAAGGAATGTGGCAGTACCGTTCCCAGGACAGAACCTGTGCCGAATCCCCAGCCCTGAGAATATATGTTAATGAAACACAAACGAAAGCATATTCTGTGGTTACGGTACCTGTGGGCATTATAGAGCACTAGGGGTGGGTCAAAGCGCCCGCAGTGCAATTTCTGAATATCCCTGCCGGTGTTTCTGAACAGGGAGCACGTCCCATCCTCCGAGCAGCCTCACAAGCCCCAGGCAGGTGACTGAGGAACAGGATGCCCTGAGGCCGGACTACTCCCTGCTGCAGCCGGTTCCTATCGCAGGAGATGATGTCCCTTCCGAGGGCAGGAATTGCTCTGCTTGGCAGGGCTCCCGGGGCCACTCGCTGTGCTGGTACCCGGCCTTGCTCAGACTGGCCGAGCGCTCCCTGGGCTCTCCCGGTGGGTCTAGGCAGGCTGCTGCAGGCAGCCTGGCTGCAGCTGCCCACAAGGTTGTGGTCAGGGCATAAGCCTGAAGGAAACACAGTTTCCTCGTGTTTTTTTTTTTTTTTTCTGCTCATGGTTTTTTTTCTGCTTTGCAGCTTCAGTTGCTCTATGAAAAGGAAGGGTCTTTCCTCCTTGCAGTGCACTTGCTGATAAGTGGTCATTGTGGGTGTCCTCTTCCTTGAAAACAACATAAATAAAAGTTTTCTTCACATCTTTTCCCTCTCACAGGGAGTCAGCCCCCAAACCAATTTTTCCGTTGCTTAGTAATAGGAAAAGAATACTTGAAAGGTGGAATGGGAAAAGATTCCTTTATTAGTAACAGAAACAGCGAAAATGGCCCCTATCCAAGAAGACACATCAGGGTTTCTGAGGATGTCTGCTGGTAGGGCTTGCATGTTACAGAAAAATGTGATACCTTGAGCCTCTTAATTTTCTTGCCTAAAAATGCAATGCAAATATCGATGGAAATAAAGTCAGCAGCTGAAAACTCCTCATAGCAGGGCAGGGGGAATATCCGAGTTAACGTCCTCGATGATGGTGGTGATACTGCTGGTTCATGTTCTTACTGCAGCTCCCTGACCTGCCAGCACGTGTTTGGCTAATGCAGCAGCAGCTCCCGAAATGCAGGGGATGCGGAGTCGCTCAGTGGGCCCCACGTGCCCAGAATGTGCTGGATTTGCTCCCAATGCAGGAATCTGCTCCCCAAAGCTAAGAGGGGAGGGGTGGACAGGTCCTGAAGCTGCTCTGCATGCAGCACATGGAAACGCGCCTATACGTTTCCATTCAGGAAATCATGGACAAGGAATATGGGTGTCCCCACTCTCTGAATGCAAATAAGGGCAGGCATGGCAGCTCTTCGGGCACTGCTGTAGGTCCTGATACACGAGGTGAATTTCTAATGGGTGAGAGAAGGCAGGAAGGAAGAAGAAACCCAAAGCTCTTTTGCAGGCGTGCTATGTCCTTTGTAGTAGGGGAAAAAAATGTTTTCCTCTTGACTGACTGTCTTTACACGCTGCATTTTGTAATTCCAAGACTGACTATGTAGAAATGCTGAGGATATGGTGAGTTCTAAACAACAACAAGAAAAGGCTTTAAATCTCAGCCTACATTCAAGTGCAACGAATTGTAAATGCCTCCAATTATCTAGTGACACAGATTCCTTGTTCGTGGTGACTGGCTGTGTTCACTTTCAGCCTTTAAGAAAGCCCAACATGGAAAAATCAGACTCCTATTCTTAAAAAGTAAAACCTGAAAGTCTACCTGTGCTTATACTCTCTTTTAACCAAGAGCTTTTTTGACATGGCTTTGTACTTTTTCACTAAAACGATCCATTAAGAGCCATGTAACCTAGGAACTTATGTTTCAATTGCCCACTCTGGAAATGGGGCAGAGGGAAGGATTATATGAAAAAGCCTTTCAGCATGAAGCGCCCAGTCTTCTCCATGTGAGAACCCAGGGGCAGTAATTGGCTCTTGTGAAATCCTTCCCTGAACATTGTGGTGTTTCAAGAAATAGGTGGCGTTTTTGTCCCCCTTTTTTTTTAATAGAAAAAGACAGTTAACATTTTCAAACTGGCCTCTGCAGCTTGTTTAAGAGCTTATGATCCTCGTGGCCCCTGTAGTAGAGGGGCAGCAGGTCCCTGGGGAGGTCGGCGCGGCCTGGCGTCGCGGACAGGAGGCCGGTGCTTGGCGTGTGGAGCAGCTGGGCGTACGCGGGCCCGGAGCGCGGGGCGCCTGGATGCGGCACGGCCTGTGGGAAGGCCGGCGCCTCCGCGTGCCAGCTCTGCGCGGGCGGCTTGGGAAAGCTTTCCGGGCTCCTGTTAAAGGCAAGCGGGAGAGAGGGGAGCATGAAGGGCTAGTAGGATGAGACAGGGAGAACGCCGAGATGGTGGTAGGTTTGTGGCTCTGCTGGGGAAAAGAGCTGGTGCAAGTGCTGCCTTGCCTTGGTAGGGTTAGGTGGGGAGCTGGCTGGGAGAAGTTCACCACGAATTTGTTTTCTAGGGTTTGTGTGGAACAGTGGGAAATAGGCTGTGACCTGCAGAGCAGGCTCCTCCACTGCATAATTTAGTAACACAGTTCATTGAAACAGGTAGCACCCAAGCAGCAGTGGCCTGGCCACCAAAGAAGGGTTGTGGCAGCCTGGTCGTGCACGGCTTTAGCAGAGACCTTAGGAAAGGAGGAGCTCTTGCCACGTAGTAGGATCTGTATCTGTTAATACAGATCTCCTCTCCTGCTGGGACTATGAACAAGAGGGCAAGGGACACAACCAAAGTCTTGTGGGGCTTAGGTTGTTAACTGCTCCCAACGCAGTTAGTCTGGAAAATACTCTCCCCCCTAATGTAAGAAGCGACATGGGGAACATCAGGCAGCCGCCCGCCCCAGCCATGGTCTCCACGCTGAGCGTTACCTCTGGAAGGCTGGATTATTGCACCCTGCAAACGCGCCTGGGAACACCGAGCTGGAGAGGGCTGAGAGGTGGTAGTCCCGTCGGTGGTAGTGTGTTAGCCTCCCAAAAGCGATCTTCCCCCGCTCAGGGGCTGCAGGGTCATGTTGCCTTCCTCCTCGGCGTTTCCTGCCAAGCTGCGGCCTGGAAGGCAGGAGAGAAGGAGGAAGAAAAAGGGAAAGATATGCACAAACAGGGGCTTATTTGAGCTGTGATGGACTGGTGGCCTCCAGCCAGCTCAGAGAAGAGCAGGCTCAAGGGAAGGGGTATGGATGAGGCCTCCAGAGCACCGAGGTGCTAGTGCTCGCTCTGCCTCTGCGTGCCCCTCAGCGTCTGCCCGCGTTTCTTTTCCTTCTTTTTGCGGGGGTGATGGCACTACATGTGGAGCTACTTGGCCTCTTGAGTGAATCCTGTTGATTGGGTAGAAATTGCACCAGCTTTGGGAAAACTGGCAGCTCCATGGTGAAGCTGGGGTCAATTCTCTGCTTTGGGCAGGCAAGATGGGCATTGCTCTGAGCTCCGCATCGACGCTGGTATTGGACACCATTGCATGGCCCGGCCCGGTGGGCCCTGTCTTTGCACTGGGACTCAATATAGCTTTGGTTGTGAGCAAAGCCTTAATTTTTCATGTGTGGTTGTGTTAACCAGCTTTCCTATCACCCTCAAGGGTAGTTTCTAAAGCCAAAACTCTACATTATTTGTTGACAGCAGCACCTGCATAGGATGGAGAAGGGGGTTGCAAGGAGCCATGCAGATGGGCAGCCGCGTTTGCAGATGTGATGCCACTGGAGCTTGTTGTTCAGCAGATGGCAGCAGCAGCACTTCTTTAGCTTGGGGAGGCACTGGCATATCACCCCCTGCAAAAGTGCCCTGGAAACTGGGCTTCTCAGAGCAGGGGGTGGTTGATAGCTTAGGATATGGGAGGCGCTGATGCCAGCAGTGCGATGAAGAAGAGGTCTAGGGTGGCTTGCAGGGGCCTGTGCGAAGTGTGCCCCGCAAAGGGCTGCGAGGGGGAGAGCTGGAGCACAGCTCAGGCCCCCTTGCCACAAGGGGCAGGCGCTGCCTTCGGCTGGGAAAGCCGCTGTGTCCGTGCCCAAGGCCGGGAGGCCGGCAGGGGGGCTGCAGAGCGGCTGCCCCGGCCCCGTCTGTGGCAGGGCCCTTCCCTCGCGGGTACTCACCCCCGGGCGGCCTCGTGCCGCAGGGCGCAGCTCCTCAGCGTCCTGTCCCGCCAGCAGCACACGGCGAAGGAGACGGACAGCGCCAGGATGATGGCGCCGCTGACGAGCGAGGCCACCACGGCCACGCGGAAGCCCTTGTCGTGGGGACGGGGGACGGCTGCAGGGCAGGAACAGAGCAGGGTGCCGTGAGCGACCGCCACGGTGGCCCAGGCTCACGAGGTCCAACGTGCAGGGCAGCCCTTCCCCGGCCTTGCAGTGCCCCAATACCCACGCTCCTCATGGCTCCTTGGCCTCCGGGCCTGTTGGTCGAGTCTGTGACCCATGAGATCCCCCGGGTCATTCCCAGCAGGAGCTAGTGGTTCCCAAGGCAGGACCTCTGCTCTTGTGCATTGCTGTGTGCTCGCTTTTATTTGATAGTGTTCTGCATTTTCAAGGAGTTGAAGCTAACTCGAGCGGTAATTTTCTAGGCCGTACGCAATAAATGACTTTGCTAATTAAAAGAGATGTTCCTGTCTCGGATGGTCTCTAGGTAATCTCTCCCCTATGTATTAAAGATGTGGACAAGCCTCTGATAACCTAAAGACATGCTTGAGGGATGATTTATACTAATAGCCATGTTGCCTAAGCCATCGTGTTTGAAAAGTTAATGGCAAGAAAGCTAATAAAAGAATTGCTTTGTGAACTAATTATTGTAGCCTAACAAAATAAGTACACAACATAAGTATACTGTGATAGTTTAGAAAGAAAAGAAAAAGGAAATTTCTGATAGAACTGTATTCAAAATTAATATTTTCTTCAGATAATTAGAATTAAAGTAAAATGAACATGACAGAAAACACAACACCTCATGTGTCTTGCATAAGCTGTACAGGTAGTGTGGATTAAGCTTCAATTCTAAGAAAGAAATGATGGCAACTATTGCTTTTTGAACCTGGAACATACATTTCTGCTTAACCCTTCCTTGGGGAAAGAAAGAAAAAAAGTTTAAATGGCTTAAGGAAGCAAGAATATTTGGAAGAAATATGGCTTGTGGAGATGGAAGAAAATTGATTAGAAATCTCTGGACGCAGTAGGCATTTCTTTCAGAGTTTTCTCAGACAGGTGTAAGATCCATCTTAGTGCACGATCTCTTTCTACTTTAAAATCAACATCTGAAAACATCAGATGAATTGCACTCCAATGAAACTATAAAGGAAATCTAAATACTGGCTGTGCTGTAGATGTCTAAAGTTAGAGACTTGACTCTCATCCCAAGGTCAAAATAATATGAAAGAATTTGCTTATGTCTGCAAAAAATGGTATGTTCGGAGCAGCAATATATGCATTAAACAAAAACCTTATGACCCTTAAAAGGATCAGAATAAAATCTCTGGAAGTAGAGAGGTTTGTGTTTTGTTTTAAAGAAACATTTGAAGTGTCTGATGATCTTTTCCTTTAAAACTGTTTATAAGTTTATTTTTGGGTGCTAAAGGTGTGATTAGTGTTTGGTGGTTTTTCTTTTTTTTTGATCACTAAAGATGTTTCTGCATTATATACTTTAAGAAACGTAGCATATGCTGAGAGCTGAGAATATAAGGTTTGCCAATTAGCTTTATGAATATTTTGTTGTTGGAAACAGGAGTACCTGTAACTTATTGCAAAGAAGTTCATTGCTCTTTGCCACACTTGCTTGTATGATCAGAAAACAGCCACTGACTGTGTATCGCCAAATTTTACGACTCTGAATTGATGGCAAATTGCTTCATTTGTGTATCCACATTTTTAAAGAGCCAGCTGTCTTCTATGTCTTTTTTGGCCTGAACTGCAGTGTCCTACCTCAGGATGTAGAGAGATGTTCTATGACTGAAACAGTTGGGTCTTAGTTTTATGACATGTTACCCTTCCTGAATAGTTTTGCTTACCTTAAGCAAATGAAAGAGAAGGAACAAGAGCAAATGTGGTAGGCTTTCCTTTTACAACATTTTTTTAGCCAAATTTTGCTCCACAGGTTAATTGGTAAACTGTTTTTGGATAGGGCTATGTGGCTTTAATTGTTAGCAGTTAACACGAGCAATATATCTAAAGGGTAGCTATACAGTATTTACAGCTTCCGCATTGTTGGCTACCTCTGAAGAAATATATAACTTTCTTGAGGGCAGTTTCCCTGAAATTATTTTATGTGCGTTCACAATGCAGGGTGTGTGATAGAGGGCTTTCAAGAGGTAGACTTTGCTCTTTAGATGTTAAGCCAAGCTGTTAGTCCTTTTGTGAGATTGTAACATTAAAAAAAAGGGTCATTTCAATCTGTCATGTGCTTTAATAAATAACAAGTGCTGGATTATTCCAAAGTTTAGCTTCCCTCCTTCCTCCTGATGGAAGTTTTTGGCTGCAAATTTAGATTCCCTTTGCTGGGTATTTGGAGCTGGATGGGAGTCTTTGCCTGGTTTCTTGGTGTCTTCTGTAGGAGTTGTCACAAGCAAGGTAATGGCTGATTTGGGGGTGAACTAACTCCTGGTGAAAATACTACTGTGATTAAATCCCCTTCCCTCCCACCCTGGTGAAAATACTACTGTGATTAAATTCCCTTCCCTCCCACATGTTTTTTTGTTTGTTAGTTTTTTTGTTTTTTAAGATTGGGTTCGATGGCTGCTCTGTAACAGAGAGAAAATAGTGTAGGAAAATACAAAGCCATCTTTTGCACTAGAACATCTCCCTTCCTTCCTTCCATGGCGCCGAAGCCCAGAGGCTGACGTGTCCATGACCTCTTCACTAGGTCACTAGGTTGGTCTTGGAGGGAAACTCCTGCTGCGTAAGAAGACAGAAAATGCCACAATGCTCTTTTGCCTTAGGACACTGTGGAAACTGTCCTGGGATGTTCTTGGAAAAATGTCAGCTAGAGATGCCTGATTTCCTCAAGGAGGGTTCCCTACATCTCCCCTGGGCTGCTTTCCCACCTGGAGGCTCAAAGGACAGCTCAGGTTACATCGTTCATTAAATGCTGGTGAAGGGATCCCATTAAATACTCACAGTATGGCTCTGCATTGCATTCAGATGGGCTACAGACCAGACCAAGCAGGACCTCTGTTGTCCCCACGGGCAGTAGAGCAGGTTCCCTGCCCTGGCAGGTCCCCAAGGGGATCATGCATGGAGCAGAGAACCTGTGGTGACACATGTCTCAGGACACCAGCCTGAGTGTTGGCAGCATCTCAAGCTTTTGTGCCTCTGCAAACTGCTCCCTTGCCTGCTGGGGGTCGGGTTTCTCTGCCCCTGTCCATCTATGGCCACTTCTAAACAGTGGGTGCAAACTGTACTCCTGTTTTTTGGAGCCTGATGGTTCAGAAAGGGATGGAGAGCACAGAAAACAAGCCAAAACCCTATAAGCAAAAGTTAAGCCAGCCCAGGGCATTGTCCAGAGGGAGAAGGGCTGGCTCCTTACCCTCGCAGTGGGGCGGGTGGTGGCTCCAGGCGGAGACGCCGTCCCGACGCAGGCACACCAGCCTCTCGCTGCCTACCAGCTGGTAGCCCTCCTGGCACCAGTAAGCGACGACAGAGCCCAGCGAGCTGCCAGAGCCCCTCTCCACGTCGTAGGATCCGTAGCGCGGCGGGACGAGGGCCGTGCACTCGGCTGTGGAGGAGAGAAGGCGTTAGGGGCAGGAGGAGAGCAGAGCCGCGCTCCCGGTGCGCCTCAAACGGCCACCCCTGCGGCCCTCCTGCAGGTCCTGCAAAACATCTCCATGGGCCTGAGTGAGACACGCATGGAAATCCCATGGTTTCATTTGGAAAAGAAAAGAAGATACTAGTCTTCCACTTGCAAATCCTGTACTATGAGGCACTTCTAAATAGCAGAGTTAAGACTGGAAAGGTACAGAATAGGGGAGAAGGGGTGGAGAGTGACCCTTAAAAAGAGAAGGAAGCAGATGGGCATTTTTTAATACACCAAACAGTCAAGGGAGTTAGATTCTGGGGAGAATGTTATGGAGTGGAACTCAATAAAAATATTTCCTTATGCCATAGGCAGGTAATTTCTCCACCTTGGCTTTTTATTTATTTATTTATTTGTTTTGTTTTTTACTTTATTATCTACATCTATTCAGCATTACTCAGTTATTCTGCTTAGATCACCCTTTCTGTATTCCACCCTTTGCATCTTCAGAGCTGTCCTATTCCCCTCCTTGGTAGTAACTAGAAACATCCACAAGCGGGGCAGACACCAAGGTGGATGCCAATCTGTGTCCATCCTTCAAGAAAAAAAAAATATATATATATATCCTACCAAGAGGCCAAGAAGATGTGAATTTCTAGACCTTACTGTCAGAGGTACCACAGACAAAAACATCTTGAATTAAAAGAGAATATTCACCTGCAAACTTAGCCAAGCTTCAAATGTGCAGAGTGGAAGTTGCTGTGTGTCTAGGGCAGGGGAAACTTTCCAGGCAAAGCGGCAGCATGGCAATAAAGCTCAGTCTAGAGGGAGGTTTGTTTTGCCTCTGGCTTTGCTGAGATGATATGGACTTATCTCAAGAGGGATTCACAAGAAAATAGATACCAGCAGGTTGAGTTAGATGTGACCTGGATAAGGTCAGATGCTTTTTAGGGACAGCAACATTGTTAAGAGATAGTGGGCACATCCTCATGAGTAAATCATACCGTCCCACTGAGTTCTCCTGGATGCTTGTTTGGTCATAGTGTTAAACTGTCAGAAAAGTCCTGCTCCAACATGCCTTTTTCCCAAACAATTCCAAGCTGCAGTTTGAAGATAAGGTGGTCCAGGGACTGTTCCCAGAAGGCATTTTGGAAGCATCATGTAGTGGGTAAAGGTTTTGGAAGGTTTGGAATTTCAGCCGGGGTGCTGCAGCTTGTCCTGTGCGGCGCTGGGGAGGCGCTCGCCTCGGCACCCACGGACCCTGTGTTCCCCTGCTCTGCTTAGTAACTGCATATTCCAGGAAGTAGATTAAGTAATAATAATAATAAAATAATAATAATCACTCTCAGCATTTTGAGATCATTTATACCTTCTAAAAATCTCCATCCTCATTTCACGCAGGAGCCTCCTCTCCCCTCTGGGACACTGCACCCAGGGCAGTTGCCTCAGGAGAGACCAGACTCTCCCGGAACAAAACGCAGAGGCTGTTTGGACCCGGCACCCTCCTGAGCGCTGCGCCGAGGCACCCCCCACAGCCGGGAGCAGCAGCTCGCCTACCTGAACCGTTGCTGTGCCCCGAGGTCCCGTTGGCAGCGGCTCCAGGCAGCACCGGCCCCGCGCTGGGCGATGCGGCGGCAGCGTCGCCACAGGCCACGCTGAGGCAGCTCCACGGCAGCAGGCAAAGGGCGATGCCCCCGGCAGAGCGGCGTCCCGTCATGGTCGGGGCCAGCGCAGCATCCTCGAGTGCCCCGCGCCCTCGGTGCTGCGGCTGCCGCGCCGCGCCGCAGCGCTCAGCTGGGCTCTTAGGGCTCTAAGCCTAAGCTAGCGGCCGTCCCGGCCTTGCCCCGCTCAGGCAGCAGCCCCAGCGCCCCGCTCCTAGCACAGCCCCTCTCTGGCTGTGCCTTGCTGGCCTCTGTCCTCCCTTTCCACCCGCTCCTGGCTCCACCAGTCTCCCCCTGTGCTGCGCTCTGCGGGCTTGGCCCGGGGACTGTGAAGTGCCACGGGAAATACAGGCCCTGGGAAGGCAGTGAGAAAGAGCAGGCGTTTGGGATCCATCTTTTACAGCTCCCTCCTGCAGGGCTGGCCTGTCACCATCTCACCAGGCACTGCAGCTTCCCTGTGTGCAGAGCTGCATGTGGGGCGCACGCAGCACCTACCTGCCAGGAGCCCAGCTCGGGGACCAGGAGACAGCCAGCAGCACAACGCCGGAATTGGGCATTAAACTGCAATTTTGCCTTTATTTTCTGTTTTTGCAAAGAACTGCTGAGGCTCTTGAATTACAGAGCCTCCTGTGCCCTTTTCTTCCCTTCCACTGAAGTCCAGGGCCAATTTTCTGCAAATAACAGTGGCACTGAATACGTGGCATCCAAATCAAAAGGGTTTCACAACATCAATTCAGCCAAATTTGCTGCTGTGAGAAGCACAGAAAAAAATATATTTTTCTTTTTCCTTGCGGTTTCTTCTGTTCAATGTCTTGCTCTCTTTGTCACTTTTAGACTGCCAAGGCTACTTGTAATGTTTTATAGCTAGGAGAGGCTGTGGCAGAAACCAGCTCTTGTCTCACAATATTTTTTTTGGCTAAGTTACTTGTAGCTGCCTGATCCTTTGCATGCACCTGGGAAGATGTGAGATGCCCTTAGTGGTGTGTGAGAACTTGAGACTGGGAGATTTCAGATGCTTGATAGTATTAGTTTATCTACTGATTACAACAAAATAAACTCAATTCACAAAAGCCTCCATGCTGCTGCTTTGCCCAGCAGTCACCACACGAGTTGTGTGATCAGATGATCCCTTAGGTAGAGCTTTCTGGTGTGTTTTGGAGCATCCCTTGCTGTGGCTGCCCCTTCTCACTGGGCTGTGCCTCTGGGACCATCTCAGCAATCCCTGCTGGAGCCAAAATAAAGTGGGAGAAGGAGAAAAAAACTTTGGCAGGAGGCTCTGCCTGCATCCTACATGTCATGGGGCACTCTGGGCTTTGCTCCAAGCCGAAGAATTAAAGGTGTAACAAGGTCTGAACAATCATTCAAGAATAACATTTGCACGAATACAACCACCTCCACAGCCGGGTGTGAGGACGTTTAGCTCTGTGTTTTGTAATCGTTTGTTTTTTACTCGGTGTCGCCTCAGAAATGTGGGGCAGTTCCCACTGGTGGAAGCAAGCGCCAAGCTTGGGGTCTTTGTGCGCACAGGGTGATTTAGTGCAGCACATAAAGAGGGAATAAAAGTGTCCAAGGACCCCGTGGCAGAGGGCGGTCAGCAGGGGCCTGCCGCAGCGGGGAGCGCTGCAGGGCCTGGCAGCGGCCAGCAGCGAGCTGGGCCCTCGCGGCCTTTCCCAGCGCCAGCCGCGGCGCTCGGGGCCTCTCCCAGGGGAACAGCAGCATGGCCGGGCAGCCGGCAGACGCTGGCCGCTTTGCCTGGGTGCCCAAAGGGTGCGTTAGGGCTGGAGGTGATTTGCAAGAGCGCTTGGGCTCTGCTCGGAGGCTGGCACTGCTCTGCCCCGCATGGCTTTGAGCGTCTTTGCTTGGGGCTTCACAGCAGCCAGGCACTAGCTTACTGTGACCACGCGGTTATTTCCCTGCTCAGTCTTTTTTTTTTTCCTTCCCCTTCTTCCTGTAGTTTTTTTTTCTGTTTATTTATGCTAAGAAGATAAGCCTTGAGGCAGGTGGGGACCCTCGGCTTGCAAGAGCGGGGGCACCTCAGGCCACGGGACTTGCCTGGGTGTAAAACAGGCCGTCACTCAGAGACCCGTGAATTGGCTTGCAGGGACCCTGTATGCTCCTGTCTTTGGAAAGGTGGCTCCAGTCCAGTGGGGAATCGGCCCCTCTGCAGAACCTGAGCTGTGGTTGGACCCCGCAACGCGTCTTCTCCCACAGCCCCAGCTAGTCCCGTGGCTGCCACTTGCTGGCCACTAACTTGCCCCCACCTCAGGGTGCACCACCTCAGTCTTGCTGTTTGCCCCCATCCCCTCTGCCCAATACACCCGCTAAATAGCTGGGCTGACCAAGCACACGCCACGACGCAGCGTTCAGCACCGAGCGGGTGCTAAGTCGTGTCACATGCACCGAGGAATGAATTGGCTCAGCCAGAGCCCGGGGATACAATAACCACTGCTGAGCTTGTGCTCAAAATGCGGAGTAGATGACATGGATTATGCCTTGGCTAATGCTCTTAAGAGCTATTCCTAGGCCTGAGGGAGATAAAGGGGCTTATTATTGCAAAATTAATATCCCCCTGGGGTGCCTGTTCAGAGCTGTGCCCCACACCCCGGCCCTGCCTTCCAGCCGTGGGTGCAGGAGCAGCGCAGGCCACGGGGCTGTGTGGCAGGGGCAGCGGGTGGCCCTGGGCAAGGGCACTTGCCGGGCTCAGCCGCGCTGAGGCTTCTCCTTGCAAAATAAAGGGAAAAGGCAGAGGGGAGCTCCGGGCGGGGGTGGCTGCAGGGAGCAGCTGCTCTGGGGGCTCCTGTGTTCCCGGCCCCTCGAGCGTGGGCTGTGGATGGGCTCCTCTGGGATAGCGGCTCCGCAGGGAGGCTGCTGGGGAGAGCTTGGCTCGCGGAAGGGCTTTCAGGGGCCTCCAAGGGCCCTCGTGTGTGTGCTCAGCTCTGCTGCACGAGGGGGATCTGCTGGGGTGAGGAGCTTTTCCTCCTACCTTCTGCCACATCCTTCAGAGCCGTCAGATTCCTTTCTGGACAAATGCACCCTTCACACACTCTGCTGACTATGTTTATGTCCCCGTACCCTGGAAGATTTTCCTCCTTCAGTCCCTGATTTGCAGCTGTAAAACCAGCACCCTAGCGCAAAGCAACTGCTGGGTCTCATGTGTCCTTTCCCACCGGACCATGACGACACCGCAGCCTCAGGAGGTGTCACCTGGTTCTTCCCCACCACCTGAACCCAACACCGTCCTCTCACCCTGGCACTCCTGATGGGAGAAAAGCCATGGGGCTCCCTTGCCATGGCAGAGGGCTCTGGCTTTCTGAAAGGAAACCTGAGCAGCGAGGTGTTGGCATAAGCAGAGCCCAGTGAAACTTAAGGCATCCTTTTAATCTTCTTCATTCCCATCATGGCCCACACCCTCATGCTGATCTCCTGGCTTGGCACAAACCCTGCCACCTCCGCAACGGGTGGCTGCACCCCAGCATAAGTTTCTGTGACGCCAAAAAGCACCAGCCTCGGAGGAGAGCAGGCGCTTCCCTCCCACCTCATGGAATGAGGAGGTCTGGAGGAAAGTCTCCGGCGCAGCATGGGCAGATAAGTGCTGGGGGTGAGAAGAAACGGTTTTCGAGCGCTGTGCCTTCTGTCACCTACCTGGGTTTGATCTCAGGGTACCCAGGTTTGCCTTGAATGAGGCCTGGCCTTGGCTTGGGGCATTTGCAGCCAGACATGTAATGGGGCTGTCAGTGGGACATGATCCAGACAGGCACACGAGGCTGAGGGGAATCCAGTCTTTTTTGGTTTTCTTTTCTAACACATTGCAAAGTGCTTGGACGCAGTCCTGTGCCATGTGCTCTAGGTGACCCCGTGTGTGCAGGGGTTTGGACACTAGATGATCTCTAGAGGTCCCTTCCAGCCTTAAGCATTCTATGATTCTATGATTTTACTTGGGCAGGTGGTTGCCTGCCCATGTATTCCTAAAAACCCTTCATAGAACTGATTACGCTATTACTAATTTAAGACATTACTGCTTAGGCATGCATCTTTCCTATCTGTTTTTGTTTTTCTTTCTTTTTTTTCTTTTTTTTTCCTGAAAACCTCTCAGTTCAGTAATTTATTGCTGAGCCTTTTACATACGTGCATGCTCATACACATATGACGTAGACATCTATGTACACACACAGAGATACTACAGCCTTTGCTTCTCTCTAAGGCCAGAACATCGCAGACTGGGGCATTTTTACACAGACTCCATAAATTCCTGCTTTGGCATGTTGATTTTGCTGTTTCATAATGGTTTAATTTCTAGATCTACAGCATTAGCCTTACATTGACCAGAGCCTGAGACTATTCAACTCTTTATTCCTATCAAGCCTACTCCAAAGTTCAGGCTTTTGGCTAGTCAGGAACTTCCTGCTTTTTTTTCATGAGAACCTGCAATCTCTTATCTACTCTTTCAGTGCCTTTTTGACACTTCAGTGTTTCTAGGAGTGGCAAAATTGTTTTCTGCCTAGCTTTATTGAGAAAAGATATTCTTATTACTGGTGTTATTTCTCAAGTTCTTTCATTCTTCTCATCCTGCACTTACTGCTAGACATCTGGGAAAAGGCAGTCTAGATGACTTGGACATTATTTTTCACCTGCTTCTTTGGATTGTTTCACAAGTTTATATAACCAAAGAGAAGAAGAAACCCTGATTATTGAATGCTTGGCTCTCATTAGAAATTAAGGCTATGGCAGGACTGCCATTCCCTGAGGAGTCATTGAACAGATGTTGGGCTGATACTAAGAGATGGAAGACTCTTTTTGGTGAGAGCTCTCATCATATTCTAATGGAAAGACAGAATAATCCCAGAGGAATATTTTGTCATTGCCTGACCAAAAAAAAAAAAAAAAAAAAACAGCGTGAGAGAGATGGTAGGCCACAAAGGATAGCAGATGCACACAATCAAGAAAGATTGATGAATCAGAATAGATGGACTTTACTGACACCCACTCTGAGGGTGACAGAGCCCTGAAACAGGCTGCCCAGAGAGGCTGTGGAGTCTCCTTTTCTGAAGATCTTCAAAAACTGCATGGATGCCACCCTGTGCCACGTGCTCTGGGCGTCCCTACTGGAGCAGGGGGGCTGGACTTGACGATCTCTAGAGGTCCCTTCCAACCTCAACCATTCTGTGATTCTGTGATTCTGTGACTTAGCTGCTAAGAGAATATGGTTTTCCTCTGAGCTGGAAATTAGTAGAGTTGAGGGTGATCAGGAAAATAGTTCTCATTTAAAGTTTGCGGAAAAGGAATGTCTGCATGCCAAGATCAAGGTGGCTGGAAATGCACCCCATGAAGTTAAATATATAGGGAGAGCCCTATGTAATGGTAATTTGGACAGGAGGTCTAGCAATGTCACAAACATCTGCTGATTTTGATGCTTCAGCTGCAGCTGTCTGACAGCTCGTTGCTTCGTTGATGGTGTTTAGGGCAAAGCTGTTTTCTCCTGTAACTGACTTTTAGGATTATTTAGACAGGAAAAGAGCTGAGACTGAGGTCTGAGAGCACAGATGCTCTGCACGATAACTAGGGGACAGAGCTTTTTCCTGATATTCTCCTTCCTACCTGGAAAGCAGGAGCTGTTCCAAGCGAGCGGTTGAGGTGCATAGGCGATCGCAGTGGCCCTATGTGCGGGAGCACTCTGCGCCCCACTCTGCTGTTTACTGCCTTGGCACGACCACAAATCAAATTAAACAAATACTTAATCTGAGGAATGAGGCTGCAATGACTTGATGGCGCATTAGCGCTATTTGCAGCTTATTAAGATAAGGCTAACTAAACTGTGTGCCTCAGGTCATCTGATCATTCACATTCAGCTAGGATGCTTATCCATATAAGGACTCTGCTCTGTGGTTTTATACTTTTAATATCTTATTTGTATCCTTTATATCGTCTTCTGATAACTTGATTATTGGTTACTGTCTTAAATAGGTTCCCAGTGCCATCCTCATTCTTTTCAAGTTGCAATAGGATTATTGTACAAGATGACAACATTTGTACCTGAGCCAAAACACACAGCAATCTACATGCAGAATAAGTGAAACCATCTAGAAACTGAGTTTTCTAGAGATCAGTACCAAGCCCTTCAAACAGGCCCAACCCACATGGCAAATGCAAGCTGGATCAATAATGAAGCAACATTCTCAGGGCTGTGCCGGAAAAACTGGGTATCCAGCTTCTCAGAAACCCCTTGCATCCTTCCCTATGGAGGAAGTTTCTTCTGCCATCAGTTACTGATTCACTCAGGGCTGCTTTCCAGTTTGAATGCCAGTCCTCTAATCAGCTGGAGAAAAGGAGTCACTTATATAAGCCAAAGGGAAAGGAAATGCCTCTGTGATACTGCTCACATGAATAACTAGGACTGAGCGGTGGTGGACTCCTGAAGTCCAGCCCCTGCATCTTCTCACCCATTTTTTTTTAGGGCTGCCTTGACTGAGACAGGTGGCAATTTGGGAGGCTTTCCTCTTTGTATTTCTCTTTCTTCTTCAAGGCAGTCCGTGAAGAAAAGCGGAAGGCATGACCCCCTCCTCAGACAAGGAGCGCAACGGGCTAGATAACCCCAGCTTCGTGGTGAGTGTGCCCTTTTCTGGGGGGTAATTCTCACATATATTGGTGCAAGTCTTACAAAAGCCAGAGAAAGGGAAACCCGGGCTGGACTGACTGCAAGGGTGCCTGTGGGCGGTGAACATCGGTCTTAGCTCCTATCAACAGAAATCTGAGGAATAATTTCTTAAATCAAGCTAGCTGCTGTTACATACCTGAGGTGGTTTCTGCTCTTCGGAGGTTTTTCTTTGCTTCTTTTCTCTCTGTTATTTGTAAAATAAGAGAGTAGATGAATGGCAGCACAAGTGTATCTATGTCAAAGAAATAATTGAGCTTGTGGCTCCTTGTGACTGTGTCCCTGGATTGAGGGTTTTATGTCAGAATAAGTAAAAGTGAAATGTAGACTGATGAAGATGTGTTTCCTTGTCTCCTGGATCTATTTGTAGTGGAGCAAATGTACAGAGAGGTGGCCAAAGAAGGGATCTGGGGCTTAGCTGGGGAGAGCACTCTGTAGGGTCACAGGATAATAAAAGCATCTGCAAATGAATGTTAGGAAGGGGTGTACCGTGCCTGTGACAAAGCCATAGGGCTGGGAGAGGGGCATGGCAGCCTTGTTCCCTTCTCAGCACAGAGACAACTCCCATCAGAAATGAGAAGAGCTGCTTTTCTGCTCGCAGGAAGGGTGATATCAAGGGGTCCTGCAACCCTCTGCCTGCTCTGTGCAGATGGACACTAAGGGGAGCGTCCAAGCTTGGAGGAGTCTTTTAACCCCTTGGTGCCCAAGTTGCCCATTTCTCAAGCAACTCTTGGCCAGCTTGCTGCCAGTGGTGGGGCGGGCAGAGGGGGCAAGCTGCGGGCAGAGCCTCTGGAGAGATGCTCAGGGCAAGGCAGAGGTTTCTGTGTTGTTATTAGTCACCTCTGCTTCTGCCTCTTCCTCTGTAACTCAGAGCAGACTTGTAACTCCTCTGAGTGGGAATCATTCCTCTACCTCCTACCTGTGGTGCCAGCAGTTCAGTATCCCGTTGCTCTCAAGATGTGCTTGTCTAAAATGCTGACACGGGTCCTGGTCCTGTACCTAGCAGCAGGCAGGGGACAACCTGGGCACCTGAGCACGCAGCAATAGCTGGGTTGGGAAACCTCGTGGCAAACGGGGCGCTGCAGGGGAGAGCTGTCCCCACCGAGGTGACAAGGAGGGAGGCTTGTCCAAGAAAAGGCGCTTGCTGCTGCCTGCCTGGCTTACAATCCACACGTATGTGCTGTGGCCAGGAATAGTTTTCCCAAAGAAAAAGCTCCACACATGGGCAAGCTTAAGTACCTTGTTGTGCATTTGCTAATCCACAGCTCAGGCTCTCTTGTTCCAAAGTGAACACGCCTCCACGGGGAGTTATTCGGGAATGCCTTTTGCTTTTTCAGTTCGTGCCTGAGCTCCTTTTGAATTAACTCTGCCCTCACCTATCTGTTTTTAAGTACCTGCATTGCTCCCAGACTGTCTGGGCAAAGTAAATACACTGTATTTTAAAAGGCACATTAAATAGCACATTTTTAACAGCATGATCTTAAATGGGGCTTTGGAGACTCAGCCGTGAAAGAGACTGGAAAACTGAAGATTTCAGGCAAATGATGCAGTTTCCCAGGATTAATAAGGTGTGGCTGCGTATTTGCAACTGTATGTAACTGCCAAAATTAATTTTACATCCCTTTTTCTTGATTACAGTGTTAGTTTTTGGCTATACTCATAGGTAGCCATGACAGCTACTGCAGAGACCTCTCTTTGCTAGGCATTTTAGGGTCTACAGGTTCCAGTAAGACTGAAAGATAAAGAAAAGAGTTTGGTACTGGCAAACTGGTTGGGAAATAGGGAAAGGAATAGGGCAAGAAAGGCTTGCCAGATCCAGGCATCCCAGCCTGGAAAGGGCCCTCTGCTCCGGGTGCGAAGAGGACTTGCTGGCTGGGGAGGATTAGTGAAGCAAACATGGGGCTCTCAGTAGCCTTTTGGATTCAGATCGAAACTTTGAGGCTTCCCATGACCTGAGCGATTCCTGCAAGGTGAGAAGGAGGGCAGTGCCTGTGTGTGTGCACAAGGTGTGTGTGTGTGTGCACAGGGATCTGTGTGTGTGTTGGGGTGCTGTGTGCGTGGGGCAGCGCGAGTGCCTGGGTGTCACGCGTGTGTGTGCAGGGATCTCTGTGTGTGTGTGTGCACAGCTGGGGTGCCGTGTGTCTGGGGTGCTGCACGCGTGGGGTGGCATTAGCCTTGCTCCTCCGTGGCCGCTGTGGTCAATGGGCCTCCTGCAGCACGTGCAGGGGGTTTCAGCAGGCCCTGCCTTTGCCCGTGTCTTCTTTCAAAATGGGAGCGGGGTCTCCAAGATCATTGTTTTTGCTATGTTTCACCCCGTTCCTCAGTATTAGAGAGATTTTCTAGCATGACAAAGTGAAGGTGCGTTTATCAAGATGAAACATATTGGAGTGTTTGGTAAAGAGACTAGAAAGAGAAGGCTAAAGAGAAGAAAATAAAATATAAAACATGCTGCTATTCTGCAAGTATTTGCTGCCCACTTGTTTTAAGATATTTTGTCAAAGACACTGCTTGTGAGGGACAGCCATGGACAACATACAATAGGGCACAATGCAGATTTGGATTGACCTTTTGCAGCCTCTTTCTTGCTTCTGGATAGTTGCTCTGTTTTCATCTAAACAGAAATGATACTACTGCATTTTGTTTGGATATGTCTTTGGAGCTAATCGAGACATTGTTCTGCATCTCTTCTGGTCTAGATGTGATGCTGTGGCCTATAAACATGTAACCTATAAACATTAATCTATGCATTTTAATCTAGGCATTTTAATCCACGTATGAATTTCCCCCTATTGTTATTTTTTTTATCTTGGCCTTACTGCTAGCTACAGGTGAGGTGTTCCCACAAGATGTGGAGCACAGTCACAGGAGGCAGCAGTTTGGTGCCCGCTGGGTCAGGCTCTGGCTAACAAGCGCTCTCTCCTGCTCGCCAGGGTGAAGATGGGAGCCACTGTCACCCCTTTGCTGATCTCGCTGCCCAGAGCCCGAGGGAGGGCAGGGCTGAGGGCCGCCGCAGCAAGCTGGCCTACACTGTCACGGAGGTACCACCGTGGTATCTGTGCATCTTGCTGGGCATTCAGGTGAGACTGGGAAGAAAGCAGGAGTAGTGGGGTGGATGGGAGTTTAATGGCTTTTCCATCAGATAATGGGGGCAAAACCTGAATTTGGAAGTGCTTTACATTCTCCAGGCATGACTACAGCTGTGGGATGAGAACTCCATGAGATCGAATCCTTCCCACCATCTTTTAAACACTGATCACTGTGCCCTTTGAAGTGCAAATAGGAAGGCAGAGTCCCAGGGTCAGAGCCAAATAGTTAGTAGGAATAAGTTAGATGATAGATACTCTGCAAAGGTGAGCCAAATGTCTAAAAGCTTCAGAATTTCTGCTACCCCTAGCTAAGAAGAGATAGCAAGAGCAAGACTCGTGCAGCGTTGCCCTGTGCCCATGGCACTGCATGTTGAATGACCCAATATTAGCAACGTCACTTGGTGCAAAGCCTCAGTAAAGGGACATGTCAAGCTAACGATGGACTGAGCTTGGTGGGCACTTTGTTTCTTTAAGTGTCGATCTCAATGTCAGACAGCATAAAAAGAAGGTTATGTGAACACATCTCCATCATCATTATTTTAATAAAACATAATTTATAACGAGTACTGTGAGGTATTAAGCACCACCAGTTCCAACACTGCAGGCTTGTGCTACAAGATGAGAACTGGGAAGTGACAACTAAAATCACCTTGGATTAATCCACTGTTTACTGCAAATGAGGTCAACATTTAAAGCAAAAATGTTTGAAAAAAATATTTTCATACCTAGTAATTAATTGAAGTTCATTGTCGAAATATGTTTGTGATCCTTCTGAAAAAATATAGGGCCTGATTTTTCCATTACTTGTCATCCATTTTGGGGGTTATTTATAAATAAATAAATATGTGGTGTGAGAAATGTTTTGGTAGCAAAGAATCTGAACCTGAAAATGAAGGATTTTAGTTTCTGGTACAAAAAAAAAAAAAAAAAAAGAGAGATATCGAAACTTGCATTTTCACTCACCTAGCCTGGTCACTCTCTTCCCCTGCCATGGGATATTTCCACCTTCCTGGAAGAGTGTTCCCAGCAGCAGTGTGTGAAAGTGCTAGGGATAAACAGGTCCCTTCTGACAGCAATTTGGGGAGTCCAGAATACTACAAAAGGGTTGGGGGCCTTGAAAGTGGGGGAAGTTAGTGTTGAGCATTGCTGTTCTCATGGGTGCATTGGAACTGCTCCTAGCAGAGAATTCAAGTTGGCTAAAGAGCAGGAGTATGAGTAATACTGGTATCACACAAGCACTGGTCTATAACTTGCTGTTATATTTCCCTCAGTGACCCAATAATAATACATGGCCAGTTCTGCATCCTTCCTTACCCAATTTTTCTTTGTGGCTCCTAGCATTTCCTGACAGCCATGGGAGGTCTTGTGGCCATCCCTCTGATCCTCTCCAAAGAACTGTGCCTCCAACATGACCTCCTCACCCAGAGCCACCTGATCAGCACCATCTTCTTTGTCTCAGGGATTTGCACTCTACTGCAAGTCTTCTTTGGAGTCAGGTAGGCCAAATGCAAGAAATGGGACATGTGAGAAAACCAGCTGTAGATACAATTGCTCTGTGCTCACTGACCGGCTTGCAGTAGAACTTACCTATCAGTGAGGATTATCTGCTATCTCTGGCTAATCAGGCTCATGCCAAAACATCACAAAATCACTGTACATGATACTTTTGCAGGATCAGCTCACTAAGTACTCTGACTTTTGCATCTTCTGATGCACTTTTTCATGTCCTAGTAAGGAATCTACCATGAAAAACAGCAAATCATTAAAGTATGCTTCAGACAGTATTTGCTTCCTCTGAATGCCAGGAATCCTTCAGCTGAGGCAGGACCCTTTTGACCCGTGCTCAGGATCAAGGGAACGAGGACTCTGTGAGAAACTCTTGGGCAGGGGGTAAATGGGAGAAGTAAATCTCAAGCATATCCAGTTGTGTGGTAGCACTTCTCATGCCAAGGTTTCATGGTACCCCTGAACTGAACCAAGGTAAATGTGCTTTGTTGCTGAGCTGTTGAAGAAGCAGTGGTGAGAGGATGAACTTACAGCTGCCCAGAAAATGAAGTACCTGAGAAGAGATATATCTGCAAGCACCTTCTTTCTCCCAAAGATCTAGACTGCCAGTTTCAAAAGCTGATTTATACCCTCCCTGCCATTTCCTCCACTGCAACTTTCCCATGGCTGCCCATCATGAGCAATGGCTGTAGACAAACCTCACTTCCAGGAGGCCGCTACTTCTCATAAACCGCAGGTGTGCCACATGGGCCAGGTCACCTTTCCTGGCTACAGAAGAGAGGGAATCTGGCTACTCTTTGTTCAGTTAAATTCAGGACAGATTGTATCACCGTGACCTTTATTATTGGTGGCCATTTGGGTGATTCATTCTAGAATAGCTCCCAAATGGCTCAGTGAGTACCTGAGAGGTGTGACGTCTTCTGTTCTCTGTTAGCCAAGGATGAAAGAGTATTAGAGAACATTATTTCCTGTAGCTGAACAGCTAAATGAGGAACAACAGATCAAGTTATGCTTAAATGTATTCTGTTGAGCTGAGGATGCAATTGTCTTGTTGTCAGCCCTGATTTTTAATGGTGTGATGATATTCCCTGCTGGTGACTTAGGCTGTGACATAGCTAGAGAAGGGAAAGCAAGCCTGAAGAGAAAGTAGGAAGCAGATATTTTTTTCTCTTACTTTTTCTTTTTCTCAAACCCTGTAGTAGCTGATGTCCATGAGCCACGTAACAGGCAAGAAGACAGTAACTATAAGGCCAAGGAAAATTACTGTAAAATATCAGGGCTGTTGTCCAAGGTCCTTGGGATCCCTCAGCTAAGTACTGTGCACAGTTCATGATGACCATGCGTAAAAAAGACCAATTCAGAGTCAATTCAGAGCCATTAAAGTGACATGGGGAAAGTAGACAGTTCATTTTAGGGAAGCAATCAGAGTGCAATTGGTTTGTTTTGCTTGGCAAAGTGGTGGCTCAGAGGGGTATGGCTGCAGCCAGCAGCTAGACTGGAAAAGAAAGGATGGGATCAGGTGAGGAGAAATTATTTCAGCTAAAAGACAATGTTGGCATGTGAACAAATAGATAGGAACTGGCTATGAACGTAGGAAATTAGTAGATTCCTACTAAGCACGAGTGCAATACTGGAGCAGCTCTCCAGAAGCCATAGCCAAGGGAAAAGCCTGACCCACTTTAACGTGCAGCTCTGTCATGTTATACAGCATGAGAAAGCAGTGATGAGTCTCAAGCAGTCACTGGAGAGACTGTATCCAAGAGGCTCCTGGGAGTGATCCAGGTCACTTATCATTGCTGTAAGACCCCTTAGTACAGGCTCAGATATCATATAATGCTGATCAGCACATAACATTTCCTTCTTTAAACTTACAGTACTTTGTCTCACAAACCCCAATAGAAAGAAGCCAGTGTCATCACTACGTGTCTCCACTAGCACCAGCAACTAACTAGCTTCAGAGCAATCACAGCAGGAGTTATAAATCTCTTGCTAATTCAACAGTCATGGCATTGGGCCTCCTGTGTTTCTTTTTGTTTATTTTTTGCCTTGCCCAGCAAGATTCTTTGAAGGATGCAACATGTTCAACTAAATGCTACAAACAAGTGACTCCATTGATGACTGATATTCAAATATGAGTTACTGCAAAGTCCTGAACAATGGTTCGGTTGTACACGGCATTTATACCACTAAGTGTAGTCCTGTAAATATTTGTTTTAGTGAGGGAGAGGTGTTGCTGATACGTCTATATCATCCTTTATTTTCCGGTGTTTTCCAGGCAATGGTAAAAATGCCCCTAGTTCAGGGAAGTTCTTTCTCTGCAGAAGTATTCACTTGAGTCAGTATGCCACTGGTGTTCTACACAGGTGCCATAAGAGCTTCCAGCTCAAGGTTTTGGGACCGCTTTCTTCTTTAAAGAACCGAGCTGAGGGGTGATGACTTGTTCAGGGCTTGCAGCATCAGCGTTCAGGTTCAGCTTGGGTTTCAAGAGGGAGGGTTCCTCTAGGCGAGGAGATGTGCAGCTTGCGGGAAGTGCCGTGCTCTTCCCAGGCCAGAACGCGCAGACCTGCCCATGCAGGTTTCCCTTCCTGTGGCGGTGGGAAGAGAACAGAGGAATTAATTAACTTTAGAACCCAGTGTACTAAAGCTAAGGCTCAATTTCTCCCAGCAGTCTGAAGATGGTTATGGGGTGGGGAATAGCCATTCTATGTGCTTGTGTTTATAAGAAGGTCATGAAGAAAATCAAGGCAGCTGAAGGGATCAGAGGAAGGATTAGAATCTTGGCAAGATCTCTACCTAGAAGCCTTATCCTAGCTAAGACTTTTTTTTTTTTTTTTTTCTGGAGTATTTCACCCTCTTTCTTCCTCAGTCTTCCCTTCTCCTTCAGATTTTCTTTTCATTGTTGTTTTACTATATGCAGCTCTGCTATCTGGTCAGACAAATGATCTGATCACACATTTTTTTCCTTAAACCGGCATCTCTTTT